GGGAACCAAAAGTAGTTCAAAAACATATATCGCCAGTGAAGCGATGTATGTATGTATGTATGTATGTATGTATGTATGTATGTATGTATGTATGTATGTATGTATGTATGTATGTATGTATGTATGTATGTATGTATGTATGTATGTATGTATGTATGTATGTATGTATGTATGTATGTATGTTTATACAGGCTACTTATCATACCTGTAATATTATTTGATACAATATTCCCAAGGTCGTCTTCCTTGTCACTGTTTCTTTGCTGGGGAAAAAAATTGACAGAGCAACTACTTATTTTGTTTTATTTTTGTCGTATTGTCTAGCACCATATTCCACCACCACCACTTGTTACTGAAAGATAGTTCAGAATAACCAACACCTGAAACAGATTGCTTCAATGATTTGAATTCATCAATCCACACTACCTACAGTCTGTATAGAACAATCAAACATCTTTGTGAATCAGCTGAGATATACAAGTTAAAAACATGATCATATAAAGTGGACTTTAACAAATTTCATGCTATCCAGTTCTATAGTAACTGTGAAAAAAGTTTGTTATGTTTCATTCTAAAATAAGTTACCTAAGGAAACACAAAATAATGCTGTATTGGGTAGAAACTCTAAGTAGAACAGACTCTATCGTTAACGTCAATACCAGTTTCCTCGGAGTCATATCGTTAATGTCAATACCAGTTCTCTCAGACTCATATCGTTAACGCCAATACCAGTTCCCACAGAGTCATATCGTTAACGTCAATACCAGTTCTCTCAGAGTCATATCGTGAACGTCAATACCCGTTCTCTCGGAGTCACCTCGTTAGATGTGCTTTGGTAACTAGTCTTATGTTAAGCATGTATGTCTTTTATATTTGTTTCCCGCTTTAGTTACAATATTGTTTGTGGAGATGAATTTTCTTCCGCGTGTCATAGTTATGGTTCAACGAGAGCGACTCTGCGTATATTAGTAAATATCTTTTTTTCTTATTGTTCTCTAAAGAAGACTGTTTTAGGCCAAAAGGTGGGGAGATTTGGGGGGGGTTTCCTCTTTTGATTTTAGCCAGCACAAATTGTTTGTGTTTATATATAAAATTTGTGCAGTTCGTGTTTATATACATTTTGTTCCCCAAGAAATTATGGGGAAATCGGTGATCTTGCAAGACTGTGTCATTAACCATAATGGTGTCTTATACTCACGCACGCATATGCGCGCGCGTAAGCGCACACACACGCACGAACGCACACACAAACCTGCATGCATGCATACATACATACATACATACATACATACATACATACATACATACATACATACATACATACATACATACATACATACATACATGCATACATGCATACATGCATACATGCATACATGCATACATGCATACATGCATACACTGAGACTCCAAAGAAAAATTACAATAAATTAATTCGTCCGAATGTACGTATATAATTGAATATCTCTATTTGCAAATAGCTCTGGATATTTTTTCCATCGCAGCTATTTTTATTGTACTAACCGTGTACTTGATTATCGTCTGAGGAAATACAATTAAATTTGTTTATAAGTGACTGCGTATATTTGTGCCTGTGTTTATATCCGATTAAATGCCTACAAAATGTCATTCATTTTGTACAAGCACGAACGGGAGAAATGCCAAAGTATTAATCTGTTCTTGCGCTGAGATCTGAGGTAAAAAAATGATTCAAATGACCTAAATACCTCATAAATGTCACCTTAGCAACACATCATCCTTGTCATTTATGTAAACTAAACGGTAAGCCGGATTTCGAAAAATATATTTGTATTTAAATTCAATCATGTATATAGATTTAAATTGAGTTTTTCCTACTATGCCGTGACGTTTTCAAGACATGAACCATTGATAGATATGGACACGGAAAGAAATTTGAAGTTTCGTAAATGGTAACCCAGTTTTCGAAATCGTCTAAAAATGATTACATTCGAGTAAATATTTTTATTATTGGTCTATAATACAAACACATTTATTTTGTTAAATTCTTTCATATAATTAAGCGAGTAGATATTAAAAAGGTTATTATAAATATCTATGTAATCGTGGTGTAAAAACATTTAACATTGTCATCCTCATTCGTACGAGGATTCTATAAATCATTTAACATTGTCATCCTCATTCGTACGAGGATTCTAGAAATGCAGTTATTAGTAGAGTATGTGTTGAGAGTTTTTTTTTAAACAAGGAGTGAAACTAATCCTTTTGCTGTTATTCATTTATAATGATACTGTTGTCATCTACATTAGAGCGAGCCTTTAAAGTTGCAAAATTAATATTTAGGGCCTACAAATCTTTGCTAATTATCTCCCCTTACAGGATGCAACATGAAAATTTATTGAGAGTTATGTGATAAATTTTAAAACTACGTGATAGGTGTTAGAGTTATATGATAGGTGTTAGAGCTATGCGATATGTGTAAGAATTAGGTGATATGTGTTAGGGTTATGTGATAGGTGTTAGAGTTACGTGATATGTGTTAGAGTTACGTGATATGTGTTTAGAGTTATGTGATATGTGTTTAGAGTTACGTGATAGGTTTTAGGGCTATGTGATAGGTATTAGATCTACACTATGTGATATGTGTTTAGAGTTATGTGATATGTGTTTAGAGTTATGTGATAGGTGTTTAGAGTTATGTGATAGGTGTTGAGAGTTACATGATAGATGTCAGAGCTATGTGATAGGCGTCAGAGTTATGTGATTGGTATTAGAGCTATGTGATAAATGTTTAGAGTTATGTAATAGGTGTTAGAGTTATGTGATAGGTGTTAAAGCTACGTGATAGGAATTACAGCTATGCGATAGGTGTTTAGAATTATGTGGTAGGTGTTTAGAGTTGTGTGATAAGTGTTAGAGTTATGTGATAGATGTTATAGCTACGTGATAGGAATCGCAGATATGTGATAGGTGTTTAGATTTATGTGATTTGTATTAGAGCTATGTGATGGGTGTTTAGAGTTATGTGATATGTGTTTATATTTATATGATAGGTGTTTAGAGTTATGTAACAAGTGTTTAGAGTTATATTATAAGTGTTAGAGTTATGTGATAGGCGTTATAGATATATCATAGGTGTTTAGACCTATGTGGTAGGTGTTAAAGTTATGTGATAGGTGTTTAGAGTTATGTGATAAGTGTTAAAGCTATGTGATATGTGTTAGAGCAGTAGCAGAGAAACCCAAAACGCCTTTCAGACAATGTTTTGCTTATTTGGGGGGTGTCTGCAGAATTAAGTTTTGTTTTATCACTGTATTAGAAGCATTTAGGCTATTGGAGGAAGAACAAATTACGACCGAAATAAAAGACATGCTAGGAGTAATGAGAAGGTATACAAATTTGTGTTTGACTTCATAATATCGTCTTCTAATGTTTATAAACAAATGTAAGACTTTAATAAATGGTACTAACAGCTGCCTCGAATGGCACTCAGCATCAAGAGGTTAGTGTTAGGACTGGTTGGCCTGGTGTCAGGATAATGTGACTGGGTGGGACATCATTCTTTATCTGCTGCATGATGCCCCAGTGGCAGACATCACTATAAACTATCACATTACTGACATCGTCGCGATATGACTGAAAAATTGTTAAAGCTACGTTTAAAAGTCTAAATCATAAAAACAAATGTTATGTGCTTAAATAATCACCTTAATCTCACAAAATACTGTTATATGGTTTATATTCCTCCTCATTTAATCGTAAATTAATGAGTGCCGGAAATTGTGTCATGAATTGGATTTCATTCGCAAGATAATTTACCCGATGGACCGTAAGTCTGTCATAGGTCAGAACGTGCGTTGACTTCAGATGGCTTGTTTCAGATCTCGGATAATGGTATGCATTTACTGCGAGACCACGGCTGATTCGTAAATATTGAACACTGCTGAATTTAACACTTGACCGCACAATGGAGACATCTCTGATTTTCAACACTAAATACTTTTGATGCCATTAGCAAAATTAGGAACGACTGAAGGACGTTGCCATTTTAAAACTTGTTTCATTTCAGCTATTTTTTTTTATAATTGTACTGTATGTGTGCGAGAGATATTTGGATATCTGCAGTGAGCCAGTTGTAGTGATTTCTAGCACAGGGCCATAATGCCTCAGACATGCACCAACATCAGCTGATGTATATTAAGTCAATATTTTTTTAGGCATTTGTTTTGTTCCCCTCATCCCACTTGTCGACAACTGTCAAACATTCAGTGACTCCCCCCTAATAAAATTATCAAACATTTGTTAGACTACCCCCCACAAAATAACATTATTTTATAGGGCCGGCTTTTTTACTAAAAATAGAATTATGGCAATTAAAAAATCTACAAATAAATGTAAATTTTCATAGAAAGGGCTTCGGCAATTTTAAAGCACGTGCAAATATGGGAAGGGGGGTAGTCATATGCCTAAAATGAACAAGAGTCTGTTGTCAAAGTGTTAAAAATTTGTAAGGCATAAAGGTTACTGAATCTGGTTGAAGAAGTTGTATGCTGTGCGGGAAACATAAATTATTTGAATGTATTATGTTAAAGATGACTGTATAATAGTCGAGCTCTCAAGTTTCCTAGGCTCATTATAGAAGTCTATGGATTGATTGAAGCATTGAATTTAGTAATTCTGATTAATAACAGGTGGTTAATCTGTCTACAGTCTACAATCTACATTGAATAAAAACAATATATGATGATGCGAGACTAGGGCAAGAGCTCAACCGTTTTAGGATTAAACTAGTGGGCTGTTGACGGGCGATCGAGTGTGTGCCTTACCAACTCACTAATTTCCTATTTTTTATTTATTATTTTTTTTGGTAAAAAATAACATTGTTGACGTCAATTTATCTTGAACTTGACATAATAAATTCATGACCCCTTATCCTGACGTCCGTCCGACCAGTCTTAACACTAACCTCTTAATGCTATGCGCCTAACGAGGCAGTTGTTTGTATAATTTTTACAAGTCTTTGCTATGACTCGACCGGGGTTCGAAACCCGGACCTATCTCATCTGAGGCGGACGCTCTTACCACTTAGACAACCGTAGCTGTAGATTGTACTTGATAACGCATGTTCAATTTTCAACTGTTACTTCGCCGATGTTGTATATCTTTCATTATTTACATAGACACTCAATTTTTTTTCAAACTATATCTTTAAATCTGCATTTACACCGTGCTTTATTTGAAATATTTCGTCGACTGAAATCAATATTTTGTGGCTTTATTGTTGTATATGAATTGTTAATTTTTCAAGAGGGCAAAATAAGTTTGCAAATCAAGTCGTAACATGGATAATTCAGTTTCTGTGTTAATATAATGCGAAATTTAAAAAATGTCTAAATGGATTACTATGTTTGTTAGTCTATAAGAAATAAGGTTTAAGTTTTAAAAAATGCAGATGTATCTTATAACTGATTCTCTAGCTACGAGACACGAACTCTTTGAAGAGTTAACTTAAAATTGTTTGAATTTCTACCAGATTGACAGCGTACTAAGGAATAACTGCAATTCAATAACTTCGACCTTTAGATAAAGGGACGATCAACAAGTCCTTTAAGACTCGATTCCTATCAAGATACCGTGTCATGTGTTTCGGAGCGACTAGGCCAATTTTGATAACGATAGTCTGGCCATATCTGTCGTTGAATTAATTGTAAATATAAAGGCGTCGGTTGATTATTTACACTTAATGATATTTACCTATTTCTAAAGGTCGACAGTACAAAGAGAGCTCATACTTAACAATACTGACGAACTGATTTAAAGTAGTGTGGTATTTTGTGTTTTTTTATATTTTAAAAAATATTTAGCGTAGTTTTAACAGTTTTTGTCTTATAGCTCCGATGTCTGCAGTGTCAGTTAAGAGTGAAGTCTATCACTAGTGCGTCATACTGCAAACATGTGGCTAATTTCCCACTCAGCAGTGACGTCACTAAGGTTGATGTCACCCAGTTGGGTAACTCACGGTGTCACCCCCATCCTGCACAAAAAAAGCAAATATTTTATAGACAGTCTTGTGCGGTATCTCATGGTGTCACTTCCATGGACCTCCTTACTGCACAAAAATTCAAACATTTTATAGACAGTAATTTTGGTATCACCACATCTGATGTCCCCCGGTGCAGTCCACCCCCACCCCGCATTCACTGCCACTCAATAACATTATCCTGACACCGCCTCCAGTCCTAACACGAAACTCTTAATGCTGAACAACGCCGAGAGAGAGAGAGAGAGAGAGAGAGAGAGAGAGAGAGAGAGAGAGAGAGAGAGAGAGAGAGAGAGAGAGAGAGAGAGAGAGAGAGAGAGAGAGAACTGTCAGCGCCATTTTTATAAGTCTTTGGTATGACTCGGCTGGGATTTGAGCCCGCGACCTCAGGCTTCCGAGGCGAACTCCCTAACCACTTAGGTCACTGGAGCGGTAAAGAAAACAAATTAGAAATATATGTTTAGCAAAATATAAAATATGCAACTATTATTCGATGTTGTTCAAAACTTTAATACTTGGTAACTGCACGTCGATAAATATATATTACCTTAATATGTGATCAGTTTTACGAATTCTATCATTCAGCTAAAATTACTGGGTTTTTTTTGGGGGGGGTGTACAAAGGTGGCCGATAGTCCTAACTTCGCCACTATAACAGGAAGATAGTTCAAGTACTACATCTGTAGATAATACAATATTGAAACAGAATGAGTTTTATTTCAGATTGAAGAATGTAATCTTCACACGTGGTTTTCAAAATGATATTACTATAGTGAAGACTATCGGCCATATTCTATTGACGGCACTTTGTGGAAAATTATTAATTTTGAGTCTCTACAATTATGTATTTGAGAACCATTTTGTGTATTTGAGATTGGGCTTAGATACATCATCCATTCAAATTAAATATAAGACTTGGAATACTTTACTTTCACTTGTCAAATACCAATTTCTCAACATCGCGGACAACGGACACTCTTTCCAAGGTCGCTGAACATGCTTTGTTTTATTATCCTAACGTGTTTTCGAGGTTCTTAGTAAGCAAGGCCTAAACTCTAAAAGGGAAGGACTAAAGGTAATATAAAGGTGTCTGTATATACGCCATTTTTGTTGGAGATAAGTAAGGCTCTATTAGAATGAGGACTGAAACGGTTAACTAATTCCCTAAACATTTACCTGTCCTACATTAAACGAACCGTAACCGGTAAATCGCGGTCGTCAAAAACCTCTTGGACAGTGTGTGAATTTGCAACAATTGCATCGCCAAAAAAAACCCATCCAGTTTTTAAATCAAATCTTGTGAAACTTGCATGCTTCACGCGCTGACACAAAGATATTCCTACTTTGCGTGAGCTCTATGTGCACGTTACCCATTCAGTTATTTTGTCCCGTTCTCCGTCATTTGACGTCGTAATCAATGTCCAAGTACAGTTGATTGTCAGTCACACTCAAATCTCTAGCTTTAATAATGACTTAACACG